GTCATTCTAAATGAGTATGACGAATTAAAGATAGTTGAAACCCCAGCTGTCAGGAAAAAATTCAATAAGCAATAAGAAGTTCAAATGAAAAAGAAAAGAAAAACTGTACATAGTGTGRCACACATTTATTGTAACATACAAACATACATTTAGTAGAGTGACCGTTTCTAAAAAAAACAATTGAGATTAATCACAATCAAAAATTTAAATCTATGCATTATCTCACACTGATTTTTGGTAAATTTATGACACAAAGAAAACGCAGCACAGTATTACTTTATATTTGGCCAATTCAAAACAATTTTTGCTAATAAATGTTTTGACTTTAAAAGTGTAATTACAGTGTTATAAATCTGTTTATCTATCAGGTTTTATGTATTGATGAGGCCACAGCCAGCGTGGATCAGAAGACGGACAGACTTCTACAGAAAACCATCAGAGAGAAGTTTCGGGACAGGACTGTGCTCACTATAGCCCACAGGTAAAATGTTTTAAAGTCTCCTTTCAGCAGGTTAGTCAGTGAAGACTTCCAGCTTCCTCACTGTGATGTAGACATTTAAAGATATTGTTCTGTTTGCTTCACTAGAATCATCACCATCATGGACTGTGACCGTGTGCTTGTAATGCATTCTGGGAAGGTGGTGGAGTTTGACACCCCTGCTGCTCTGTGCCAAAGAGATTACTCAATCTTCCACAGGCTGGTTGGTGAGCGAGCCGAATGACAAGWCCAACAGATTTAAACAGAGGGGATCCTCTCTGACAAACAGAAGAGAACTGAAGCTGACAACCTGCAGCTGTTTCTGCACTGACCTGCTTCCCTCATTTAGAACTTTTACTTGACCAGAGACAATTTATTTAAAGACAGCTTCAAATCAAATAGGACTGTATGTTTTTACTGTATATTTTATTGTGAAGAATAATTATCTGATTATTTCTGTTGTAAAAACAACTCTTCCAATAAATGATCTTTTTCACCAACCTGGTGTGTGTGTCCTTGTTTTTGCTACTTGGTGAGGACAATTTTTCAGGAAAATACAGCTTCTTGGGGACCAAAACCCGGTCCCCACGACTTCGAAGGCTGATTTTGAGTGTGTATGTGTGTGTGTGTGTGTGTGTGTGTGTGTGGGAGGGGGGGGGTGGTTCGGTTTAGGACCAAGGTTTAGGTTAGTTTTATGGTCAGGTACCTTTGAGGTTAATTTTAAGGTAAATGTTCAGGGTTAGGAATATAAAGTCTAAAAAAACATGAATGGAAATCAATGGAAGGTCCCCACGGGATTCGAGAACATGTATGTATGTGTGTGTGTGTGCATTCTCCTGCCTGTTGGCCTAAACCAGGGGTTCTCAAGCCATTTGGGTCTGGGGACCCCTTACATGGCGAAAAATATCCCAGGGACCCCCTCATAAACCCCATGCTGTTTTAAAAAATAATTTGTGGTCATTTCAACCCATAAATGCCATGAGAATATAAATTTTTATTAAGTTTATTGTGTTTGTTTTATTAGTTCATTGTTCTCTATGTCTCTAAAAAATATAATTAACAATTAATCAATATCAGTTTATAAATGAGGCAGGCAGGCAGGCAGCAAGACGTCGAGCGGGTGGGCTGACGGGCGGACAGCCGGACGGGGCAGGCGGCTGGACAGGCAGGCATGCACGCACGCACCAGGGATTGCGGTCGGTCTGGCAGGCAGGCACGCATGCACCGGGGCGGGCGGTCGGGCAGGCAGCAAGGCCTCTGGTGGGCAAACGGGCGGGCGGACAGACAGGCACACGCACGCACCGAGGCAGGCGGTTGGGCTGGCAGGCAGGCACGCGATCACCGGTGCGGGCGGTCAGGCAGGCAGCAAGGCATCGGGCAGCAGACGGGCATACAGGCGGAACGGCGGACAGGCGGGCACACATGCACAGGGCAGGCGGTTGGGCTGGCAGCAAGGCGTCAAGTGGGCAGACGGGCGGGAAGCCTGACGGGCGGATGGGCGGACGGTGGTGGGCCGAAGGGTGGACAGGCAGGCACGCACGCACGCACCGGGGCAGGCGGTCGGTATGGCAGGCAGGTACGCGTGCACCGGGGCGGGCGGTCTGGCAGGCAGCAAGGCGTCGGGCTGGCCAACGGGAGGGCGGGCGGACAGGCACGCATACATTCACTGGGGCAGACGGTCGGGCTGGCAGGCCGGCATGCACTGGGGCGGGCGGTCGATCAGGCAGCAAGGCATCGTGCGGGCGGACTGATGGTCGGGCTGGGAGGCAAGCATGCACGCACCAGGGCGGGCGGTCGGGCAGACACAGAGGTGTCAAAAGTATTCACATTCATTACTTAAGTAGAAGTATAGACACTAGGGTTTAAATATACATTTTTGGAAGTAGAAGTATCAACTCGAGCTTTTTGCACAAGTAAAAGTACAAAAGTACTGGTTTTAAAACTACTTAAAGTATAAAATTAAAAGTAATGAACACTATAAAAAAGGCCATTGCAGATAAAATCTTAGAC